TAAGGGTTGGGATGTATTTTTAACTATAAAATTTAAGTGTGACAATCATTTGACTCATAATCATAATACTAATAAGTTATGGCAATAATGCTGTAACTTACTATATTACTTACTATAGTCTGTAGTTACAGCAAGTTACAATTGCTAATCCAACAGTACTAAATCATGGAATTTTAGTAGTGTCAGGATTTTGTTGTTGAGTTTATGAATGTCAGGATTGAGTATCAGGATTCTGAGGTAAAACTAATGTTGTTAGTTAAAATTGTTTTTGCCAATATCAAAATTTTGTCTAAATTAATTTTGTCTAAAGATGGGTTTCATTCATGCGCATGATTGCAGAAACATGCGCATGATTCCGTTTCATATGCATTTTATCCTATCAAAATTTCTTTTCTCTCAATTGTTTTTTCTTTTTTTTGCTTTTTTTTTATCATGCGATATCATGCCAATGAAACATTTCATGCACATTAATGCACATTCATGTGCATGTTATTATAAAATGCGCATTTTTCCCATTACTACTTACATTATTTTCTTATTCACAAAATGTCAAATACAGGAGAGTTGTCTTATGACCAAATGGTTCTTTATGTGCAAGCATTTGTTGACTTGTGTAGTTCTATATGCATATATCATGTTGGGAATTGTTATAGACATGGAATTGAAATTAAAAAAGATGAACATAAGGCATTCATTTATTATCAAAAATCAGCAGAAATGGGGAACGTTAGTGGAATATTTGCACTTGGTAGCTGTTATAAAGATGGAATTGGAGTTGAAAAGGATGAACATGAGGCATTCACTTATTATTAAAAATTAGCAAAGATGGTGGATGCTGATAGAACATATAATGTTGGACATTGTTATATTAATGGAATTGGAGTTGAAAAAGATGAACATAAGGCATTCATTAATTATCAAAAATCAGCAGAAATGGTGGATGCTAGTGAAACATATAACGTTGGATATTGTTACAGAAATGGAATTGGAGTTGAAAAAGATGAACATAAGGCATTCACTTATTATCAAAAATCAGCAGAGATGGGGAACATTAGTGGAATATTTGCACTTGGTAACTGTTATAGAGATGGAATTGGAGTTGAAAAAGACAAACATAAGGCATTCATTAATTATCAAAAATCTGCAAAAATGGGGGATGCTAGTGGAACATATAATGTTGGATATTGTTACAAAAATAGAATTGAAGTTGAAAAAGATGAACATAAGGCATTCATTTATTATCAAAAATCTGCAGAGATGGGGAACATTAGTGGAATATTTGCACTTGGTAACTGTTATAGAAATGGAATTGGAGTTGAAAAGGATGAACATGAGGCATTCACTTATTATCAAAAATCAGCAGAAATGGAGGATGCTGATGGAACATATAATGGAGTTGAAAACGATGAACATAAGGCATTCATTAATTATCAAAAATCAGCAGAAATAGAGAATGCTAATGGAACATATAATGTTGAATATTGTTATTATGAAGGAATTGGAGTTGAAAAAGATGAACATAAGGCATTCATTTATTATCAAAAGTCAGCAGAGATGAGGAATGCTAATGGAACATATAATGTTGGGTATTGTTATAATGAAGGAATCAGAGTTGAAAAGGATGAACATAAGGCATTCATTTATTATAAAAAATCTGCAGAGATGGGTGACTCTGATGGGATATTTGAAGTTGGATATTGTTATAGAAATGGAATTGGAGTTGAAAAAGATGAACATAAGGCATTTATTTATTATCAAAAATCAGCAGAGATGAAGGATGCTAATGGAATATATAATGTTGGATATTGTTATGATGAAGGAATTGGAGTTGAAAAGGATAAACATAAGGCATTTATTTATTATCAAAAATCAGCAGAGATGGGAAATACTAATGGAATATATAATGTTGAACATTGTTATTTTAATGGAATTGGAATTAAAAAAGATGAACATAAAGCATTCATTTATTATAAAAAATCTGCAGAAATGAAATACGCTAGTGGTACATATAATGTTGGACATTGTTATTTTAATGGAATTGGAGTTGAAAAGGATGAGCGTATGGCATTCATTTATTATTAAAAGTCAGCAGAGATAGGGGATGCTGGTGGAATATATAATGTTGGACATTGTTATCTTCATAGAATTGGAGTTGAAAAAGATGAACATAAGGCATTCATTTATTATCAAAAATTAGCAGAGATGGGGGACACTATAGGAATATATAATGTTGGATATTGTTACAGAAATGGAATTGGAATTGAAAAGGATGAACATAAGGCATTCATTTATTATAAAAAATCTGCTAATATGGGCAATTCTGAGGGAATGTGTCAAGTTGGACATTGTTACCTTCATAAAATAGGAGTTGAAAAGAATGAACATAATGCATTCATTTACTATGAAAAGTCTGCCAATATGAGAAACTTAGAAGGAATTTTACAAATCAGGTATTGTTATAGAAATGGAATTGGAGTAAAAAGAAACTTAGAGAAGTCTAATGAGTAGTATCAAATATATTAAGAGTAAGATTTAATTTTAAAATAACTATTGTTATTTTCATTGCTATTAAATTACATTTTTAATTTTTTATTTATAATGCACTAGAAAAAAATCTTGATTTTTGGATAGTATATTATTCAAATCATTTATTTGTTTACTATAATTAAAGTCTAATTATTAAATTTTTAGCATCAAATGCAACAATTGACTGGATAAATAAAATTCCTGATATTATAAAAAAAATATTGATTAAAAATAAGCACTCGTTAGTATGGATTCCCTATAATGAACTAGAAATTATTAGACTTCTAGGAGAAGGTGGATTTTCAACTGTATTTGTAGGTATGTGGGAAGGTTTAAACAGAGTAAGAAGAGGTGTTAACCTTAAACTATTACATGGATCAAACAAATATCATGAAGAGTTTATAAAGGAGGTAACCTGGTTTTATTTATTTATTTATTTTATCATTAACTAATATTGTTTTAAATGTTAAAGTTAGAAGCATATTGTGATATTGGTTATGAAAATCCTTTATTTTTCAAATGTCTTGGAATATCGAGAGATGAAGCCTCTAAAGATTTTATGCTTGTCCTAAATTATGCTCTCATAGGATCTTTACGTAAAAATCTTGACTCAATAGCACGAATAGAATGGATAGATAAATTAAATTTACTACTTTGCATTGCTTCTGATCTTCAAATAATCCATTCTCAAGGACTTATTCATCGAGATTTGCATAGTAGTAATATATTACAAGGTACTTTGTACAATGCGTATATTGCTGATTTAGGGCTTTCAATAAAAACAAATATAGAGACTAAGATAAAAGCTGACGAAATCTGTGGAGTTTTACCATACATTGCACCTGAAATTTTTGATGAAAAGCTGTATATTACTGCATCTGATATTTACTCATTTGGCATGATTATGTGGGAAATACTATATGGAGAACCCATATTTTGCAATCGAGTATTTAATGAGCTACTTAAAATAGACATATGCCATAATAACCTAAGACCAATAATCATTAAAGAAATACCAAAATGCTATATAAATTTGATGAAAAAATGCTGAGAAAAATGTTCAGAAAACCACCCAACTGCAGAAGAAATTTATAATACTTTTACAAATTGGAAAGATGATGAAAAAATATTATTAGAATTATCTAAGTCTAAAATATTGTTAAAAAATGTTAAAAATACTCACAGCCAAACTTATATTGAAGCAAATTATAAAAGTAGTTTGCAGATTTCAAATCAAGATATTAATTTTGAACTTAACTAAAATATATAACTCATTTATAAACTATCGCTTTCATTTTTTACTAAAATTACTCATGGATTTAAATTTAAATTATTATTTTCTAAAATAAGTATGTAGTATTCGAATGATTTCTGATCAGTATGACTGTGACTGACCTAAGGATGTAAACCAAACCCGAATGTGCAAGTATAGGATTTATACCTAATTTGGGTTTGGGAGTCGACCATTGTCATGATCCTGAACCCAATTCAAAACCCAAACCGGTACCTATTGATTATTGCATATTCTAAACCTTACTGACCAATCAAAAATTACGAACACTACATGTATTATTCTACTAAAGCTGCTTATCTTCATGCTTTTGATTTTCTTAGCAGAGTGATCATAAAACTTCATATTCTGGTATTATTTTACTAAAGTTCTTAGTTTCGTAGTTGTTTTCTGTTTTTGAGTAGTAGGTAACAACAAAACTCTATATATTATTCTACTAAAGCTATTTAGTTTTGTACTTGTTCTTTGATTTAGAGTTAGCGATCACAAGTAATTTGGTTGTTTTGAGGTTATTATTAACTTGGCAGTTTTTTATTCTTTTTTAAGTTTTTATATTATAATATCAAAGCAAGCTAGAATGATAATTTAAAAGCTATTTTGTTGGTGTTGAATTCTCTTTCAAGATGTCAAACGGTTTTATCTTATAACTGGTAAATATTTTATATGTACTTTGTTGTAAAGATCAATAAACATTTATACAGAAGAATTTAATTAATTTTTAATTATTAAATTACTTAAAAGATTTTTTTAATGATTTTATAGGGTCTCCTGTTATTTTTTTGTCTTCTGTCATTTAACTATTTTTTTAAAAAAATACGAAGTTTTGATTGTTTCAAATGTATAAAATCCATTTATCTTTGACATTCTTGTAATAAATAAATTTTATCTTTAATAAATCACAAATAATATAATAAGTTATAATTAAATAAAAACTTTTATTATGGAAGAAGATTTATCTTAAAATGCTACTGAAATATCACAAACATCTCAATCTGATGAAATTATATATAAACAAAAAACAGATAAATTAGGGTTTCGAAAAATCATAGTAAATAAAGGTGGATGACCAAAAGCAGCTGTTTGGAATGAGTTTGATATTGGAGAAGCTGACAGTAAAGGTCATTACAGTGCAAGTTGTAGATATTGTACTAAAAGAAAATGGTAATGTGGAAGACCTGCAGTTATGGAATCACATTTAGCTTTACATTGTAAAGGTGAAGTTTCTGACAATATAAAACATTATTATTTAATTGAAGTAGCAAAGCAAAATGATAAAATAAATAACAATGATAGTGATAATGAAAGTACAATATTATCATCTAAAGTTTTATCTTTGCATTTAAACCTATATCAAATGAAAGAAATAATGAAATTAATAAAGCTTTACTTAAAGCTTTTGTTTGTGCAGGAATCACATTTTCTGTAATTGACAATCTATTTGTTTATGACCTTTTCAGTATACTCGAACCAGGTTATACTCCTCCTGGAAGAGTTACATTAGCAGAGCGAGTACTTGATAAAGAAGCTACTCATATAACAATCTGAATAAATAATTTGCTTGATAAAGCACAAAATTTAACTTTAAGTAAATATTTTAATTTTAAAATTTTGCTTTTTTTTTATTTATTATTTTTAATATATTATTTTTTACTATGTAGTACTTGATGGATGGTCAAGTCCAACAAATGACTCATTATATAATTTTATTGTTTCAACTTCAGATCGTAAAGAATATTTGTATTCTATTTTAGATTTATCAGATACAGTACAAATGGGTGAATTTCTTGTGTTTAAGATTTTCGATATTATTGATAATATTGGTTCTGATAAATTTGTGGCATGTGTAACAGATAATGAGAGTAATATTCATGTTGCTTATGAAATTACAACACAAAATTATTCCTATATTTGGAATATTAGGTGTATTGCTCATGCGTTAAACCTTATAGCAAGCGACATCGTTAAAATTAAATCTGTTGATCAGGTTTTAAAACAGGCCAATCAGATTGTTCAATTTTTTAAAAAGTCATATAGAGCATGTCGACTTCTTCATGATGGCATAATAAGCATAAAATTAGATGATAGTAGTTTAGATACTTATGTTAAAACAAGATGAGCTTCTATTTATGAAACTATGTCTTTGATCATAAGACTAAAACCTATTTTTGACAAGGTAATTTTGTCTTATTTATTATATATATAATGTTTATTACAAACCTTATTTATTATTTTTTATTTGATAATTTATTTTTTTTAGATATTAGAATATAATCGAGATGTTATTAGCAAACCTACAATAATTTTATTATTGAATGATGATGATGATACATTTTATGCAAATTGCCATAGAATTGTCTCTATAATTCAACCTATTAAAGAGGCAATTTACAATATAGAAGCACGGACTGCAACTCTTGCTGATTGCTTTATTAGCTTAGTAAAGATTGCTGTAGCCATTAATCGAATTCCTTTAAATAATGTATTTTGTGAATCAGCTATTGTTATATTTAATAAACGGTATGCTAAATATGATATTGAACCATATTTACTTACCTATTTTCTTCATCCAGAGTATAGAGGTAATGTTATTTCAAGTTTTAAAACTAGTTTATAGTATACAAATATAGGAAATATCTAAAGTAAAGTAAATTCTGTATAATATATTTTATTGAATTAATTTTAAGATTAGAGCCATTTTATATTAGAGTTATGTTGGATTTTTAGATAATTAAATAATTATATATAAGCAAAATTGCTTTCCTAACATTTTTATTTAACCTATTCGAGATAGGTTTAGACTGCTGTTTTTTGTATTTTAAAGGTTTTTCAAGTTTATTTCTTGATTTGCTTCACTAGTGATCATCAAAATTCTATAATTTGATTGGTCTATAATCTCGTAATTCTGCTCTGCTTTAGATGATTCCCAAATATAACTGTAAAGAATTACTAATTTTTTTTTTTTACTATATAGGTATATATACTATTTTTTATTTAATATATATAAAAAAATCTGATTGAAATTAATAACAATTTATTTTAAATGTAGGTCTTGGATTACATAAGGGAATTTTCGAAAAATTTGTAAAACAGCTGTTAAATTTTATAAAAGCATTCATAATAACGAAGCTGCATGCTGATTAATAACTATACAGCTTATTCATTATAAGCATCAAGATTATTCATTTGATTTTGATTATGATTTATCCAAAACACCTAATTTGTGATAGGGTGTAATTGAGAATGAATACTCTTATCTTCAGAACCTAGCACAAATTCTTTTTGCAGTTGTACCTTTACAGGCAAGTTGTGAGCATAATTTTCTATTTTACAATAGTTGTATAGTACATATTGTTCATGATTATCTTTTGAGAAAATAGAAAGTATGGCGAAAATCCATTCTTTCTATATTTCTAATCTTAAAAATAAGCTTAAATATTATGATAAAGAATTATCTGAAAGTGAGCTATATGATAGTGCATTGGCTCTAACTACTTATACCGCTGTAGAAAATAATAATATAACTTTAAAACAGCATAAAAATACTTTGGAATCTATTCAGTTAAGGAATGAAAAGCTTCAAATTAGCTTTATAGTTGATTTATCACATAGTGATTTTGGTGAACAGAGTAATTTTGAAGAAATATCTCATACAATGTATACAACACAAAGAAGTGGTAATATGGATTTTGATCCTATAGAAATTGTAGAAAGTGAATTTCAATTTGCTAATGAAAATTTATTCTAATGAAATAAATTTAATAAGTACTAGTATATGAGTTTTTTATCTTTATTCACTGAATTTTCAAATGTTATTAAATCTTCTAATTCACTATCACATTGATTTATTAACTCTATCTCAGAAGTTCTTATTAATAAATTTAATAATTTTTGCTTACAATAAATTTTTATATATCCGATATATATTACATATAAATAACTATCATTTTAATTTATTTCTACAATAAATTTATATGTATTATTAATTATACTGTAGTAGAGAAAGAATTTTTATACTGTACAATAAAGTTGATAATATTTCATAATTGACCAATCAATTCTAATCATTTGCGCTATTGTGTTCGATTTGGAATTTAGTCTAAAATAGTTTGGGTTACGACAAAAGAGTAAAATTTAGTAAAAACCTTTGGGATTGTCCTAAGTTCTAAACTACTGGGTTTGGTTTATATCCCTAGACTAACTACTGTATATAGTGGATTTAAAATTGAATTTCATAAGCTAATTTTGAACTTTGAATTTTACAAAGGCCTTTAATTAAATATTAGTACAAGAATAAGTTTTTAATAATCCAGATATAAAAAATTTTATCAGATGCAATAAATCATTATTTGTAAATAGAATATGTTTTTATTGTTGACAATAATGATATCAACTTGGTTTATCTCGCAAAGTAATCCAAGAATTTAATTATTCACAACAAAAGAAACTACATGAATGTTGGCTGCACCATTAACTCCACAAATGTAAAAACAAGTAAAAGTAAAATAATTAAAATTTCAATTTAGTAGTTATCATCTACATAGTATCAATTTAAAATTTTCGAAAATTTTGCAAAAACAGTCACTAAATAATAATGAGATATTGTATATTCCTTTTATTAGAATTTGTTTCTTTAGGGTGCTCTCAAGCACCTTAATTAATTGGCCAGGATAAAAAATTTAATTAGCGATGAATAGTCAAGTGAGTTATTATTTTAGTAAAAAAAAAGATAGTCTGTGACCATCTTTTTTTTTCAAAGAGTTGAGTTTTATTAGTAAAAATTTGCAATTGATGAAGTAATAAAAGAGATCATTCAAGCACTTTACATTGTTATATTATATGTAAATATATAATTTTTAAATAAAATTTTATTACATAGTATATTAATTAATTAATATAATAGTATTATTTTAATATATCAGTAATTTATATTATATGAATATTTATTCTTTCACTTTCGCTTTTGTTTTATCTAAGAACGTTCAATATAAATAAAAACATAGATCACTGTCAACAACAACGGATTATTTTGTTACTTTTTATACTAGAAACATTTAAAGCAAATAAGAAACGTCAGGAGATTCAAAAAAAAATAACTAATACCTATCATCTTCTGACCTTTGCTAATATGACAACAGATATGACAATTCTATTGGTATTTTTTTCTCCTAATATAAGAGCTCAGCCTCAACAAAGACCAAAGACTAGAGGATTTTGGATTGATATCTTTCCAAATTTAGCTGATAATGAAGGTTATAACTCATTTTAACAACATTTTTGAATTAAACTTGTTACATTTAATATAATTGTTGCTAAATTGGAGGCCCATCCAGTTTTTAGTTGTGAAGCACCTAATTCCATACCTGTTTGGAAGCAAATTGCAATTGTATTATGGTGGTTTGCTAATAGAACTGGTATTCAAGTACTAGAACAAACCCTTGGAATAAGTCAAGGATCGGTATGTCACTTTACTGATAGGTTCTTGAAAGCATTATTAGATATAGAACAAGAAAAAATAATATGGCCACAAGAATCAAAATTAGCAACTATAACACAAGAGTTTGAACATAAAATATCAGGTCTAGAAAATAACTTACTGAATGTTATTGGAGCAATGAATGGATCTCATATTCCAATTCATCCTCCTTCAAAAAATGGTTTCCGATTTGTAAATCATAAAAATTTTTACTTCATTAATCTTCTTGGAGTTGTAGACTATTTAGGATGTTTTACCTATGTTCATATTGGAGAAGCAGGTTAATGAAAAATTATTATTAATTTTAATATATTTATTTATTAACAATTTTTTTTTAAAGGAAGTGTACATAATTCCTGTGTATTTTATCATTTTTCACTATATTCTGAAATTTTATATAATCCTGAACAATGGGTCCCAGGTGGATCTTATATAATTGCCAATTCAGCATATTCTCTCAAAACTTATTTAATGAAGCTATTTCCTGATTATAATAAATTAACATATAGAGAATGATAATTTAATAAAACTTTATCTTTAATGTAAATGATTGTTGAATGTGCATTTGGATATTTAAAAGATCAGTAGAGAATTTTAAATAGTATAAATTGTATTAATTTAAAATAAATAATTAAAATAATTCATGCATATTGTATTCTACATAATATTTGTATTAATAATAATAATATATTAACAGACAATGAAGTTGAAGAAGATAATGAAGATAATACTGATGAATATACTGATGAAAATGAAAAAGATAATATTGCAGGTATACAAAAAAGAGAATATATAGCAAATATTCTTATGAATCTTTAATATTTTATTAATATAGCAATTAGTATCTTTTTAATTATACATGTTTTTAAAATTTCATTAAAAACTGTTTAAATATATCTATTTGTTCATCATGTTGTTTTTGTTGAATTT